TGTTCTAAAATTCTGACTAATTCCTTGGTTTGCTTTGGTTTTTAATTAAGTGGAGTGCAGTTCTTTCCTTAGCTAAATGAACAGCATCCAAGTACTTGGTTCTGATGATCAAAATAATTTTTCCAGTCATGTTTGTTGTACATGAAAAGTCAGTGTTATCAGGAATTGTTCTGAAATGAAGTTATGTTTTATATTTCCTCAAAAGTCTCTTCCCTTCCATTTCAGTGGTCATCTATCAATGAGCTTGATAAACTGCCAAGTTTGCGGGCACTGCAGTGTAACAATAACCCCTTCGTGGACACAGAGAAGAACCCAGAGACCCTGATACAGCTCATTATTGCCAAGATCAGTCAGTTGGAGGTTCTGAACAACTGTGAGGTACGTGATATTTCAACAAATTGCATGAGTCTGGCAGAAACTTTCAATCACTGCCTGAGGAATTGTTTTCAGTTTCTTTTAAGATGATGGATTGCTTGGATGCAGGAAAAGTAGTCCATCTAACTATCCATGCTAACTAGTCCATCCCCTTGTCAGCGAGGCAGGCAGTAGGGCTACAAGACTGAGCCCTCTCTGTGAGCATTGGTAACTCAGTGGGGACTTGGACAAGATGGGTCAATGGTGGTTTTCTCTCAGTCCCTGAACTGTGTTGAAGTTGAGGACTGTTAACAAAAACCATACTCTTAAAGAAAAGAAAAAAAGAGAAAAAGCAGCTTAGTCAGATCTGTTTCAGTGACAGCAATACCAACATTTGCCTCCTGCAATGGAAAAATACCATAATCCACACCAAATCAAACTTTCAGCAAATGTTTGTTGTAAAGGAGAGCAGAAGCAGCATCTGATCCATTGCTACAGAAAACATCCTTGCACCGTGATACACAGCAAAATCTTTGCTTAGATACTCAATTATGGCTCAGTGAGTACACAGAGGGGCTTTAAGACTCCTAATGGCTCTAAAATGTACTGAATATATGGATCAGTCAGTATTTGGAGCATGGTTTGTAAGATTCTTGGTAGCGTTAAAACATACACAACATTAAAACATGAACACCACATAACACCAAGGAGTCTGTGGCATTGATTAGATTTTGTTCTCTGGAAAGTTATATAATAGAATTATGTGTCATTCCTGTGTCAGTACAGATCCTTCCTGCTGAAAGAAGAGGAGCAGAGCTTGATTATCGCAAAATATTTGGAAAGGATTGGCTAGAAGCTGGTGGGCATTGGAACCCAGAGAAAAACAAACCAAGTGAAGAATTTCTTGCTGCCCATCCCAGATACCAAGCACTCTGTCTTAGTAAGTACAAGCAGAGTACAACAGTGTTTCCTCACCTCTGGCATTGTGGCAGCACTGGTTTGTCTGTTTTCAATTTCTCTTCCCCTTGGTCCTTTTTCCATGTGGAAAGCCCATCCACTGGCGAGCCTGTGTGCCAGTGGGCTTTTGCTCCTGTGGGGCTGCTGCACAGAACTGCACCCTTCAGGGCACTGCTGCCACAGGAACTCGGGCTCCCTGCCTTGGAGACCCCAGCACCTGGGAGCATCCACTCCCCCACTGCTGCTGAGCAGGCAGTAGCTCTCTCAGCAGTGGGAATGTTAAGCAGCTCCCCCATGTCCTGAATGCTGCAGCAGCTGAAAAAGACTCACATCTGCAGCACTGCGTGGTGCAGGATCTACCACGTCTGTGCTGTGGAAACTTGTGCCTGATCCTGCACCACAGTGTTCTTTAGAGCTCAAGTTTTAGTCTTTGAAGGGTTCTACGTGCACTTTTCTTCCAACAGAATATGGAGCACCTGAAGAAGGAGAACTGAAGGGACAACAGCCTTTGACTCTGAAAAACCAGCTCCTGAGTAAGAGGCCAGAAATGGTCAAAATTGTTCCTTCTGCATTTAGAGTATTTTATGAGCTTAGTGTCTCCTGGGTGTATATGGAGAAGAAAAAGTTGTGGCTTGTAATTCTGCTTTTCTGAACTGTCTCAGTGAGTTTGGCTGGAAACCTGATTCTGTGTACTCTCTTCTCATTTCCCCTCTAAACCCAAGCCAAAGGATTTTCTCAGTTCAGATTTAATGGAGAACAAACACTATTGATACTCCATTCTGACAGTGTGAATGGCTTCTTTACAGAAGACATCCCAGATTTTAATCTCAACAGCTGCACTGTTTTCTGATATTAACTTTTTTATGACTTCTTAACTTTAGGACAGACAAGAAAAATATGGGTAGCTTTGGTTTGGGGCTGTCTACATATTTAATCTAGGTTACATCCTGGACTTGCAGATTCATGTAGCTGTGTTTCCCAGTTGATAAAAGAACTGAAACTTTTTACTCCATGGGCAAAATAGTATTTTAAAATGTAACATTCGAATGCATTTAGGTGGAAGACTAAATAGAACGAGGAATCTTGTTGGCTAGAGATATAATATAAACCTTTTTTTAAGGATAAGTCTTTTAATCTCTGTAAAATAATTAGGCTAATAATGTCCTTTCAAACTATTTGTATGGTGCTTTTGAGAGGACCAAAAGCCTGTTTTAAACTGAATAAGCAATTTCCATTCTACTGCAGGTTATTTTTAAAAAATGAAGTAGAAATTAAGCATTTTTATGTAAATACTCATTTTGACAAAAAAATCCTATCTTTAAGCATTAGGGAGTCACTTCTACAATAATTTACCAAAGATGAATAAAAACTTGGTTATTTTGATTAATTAATCTTTCAGATAATGACTAAACGCTATCTTAACTGCTCAGATGCAGGCAACCTGCTAATTTTTGAGATCAGGCTGAGGTAAGGGAAACAATTTCTAATAAAATCAGACTAGAAAGACTAGGCTTCTGCCAGAACAGGGCTTATCATTCTTTCAATAATGCCTCACCTTTCTTCCTTAAGCTCTGACAATTAAGTGTCCTGAGAAACCTGAACAGAAACCAGTGGAGAAAAAACTACCAGGTATGAAGTCTTGGCTTATATTCAAGCATTTGTTTCATTGCTCCTTTTCAAACAACTGTATGAAAGAATGGCAGCTGCCTCTGGCTTTGTCAGCTCCTGAAAGCTTTTCCTCTGTCATATTAGGAAATAACAAAGGAAGAAAATGTTTGAAGAAGTCATTACTCTTCTGGCCTTCATACTTACTTTCAGTCCAACTTGAAGATGGAAAGTTGATGCTTGTCTTATGACCTCTACTGCTGGTTTCATGACTAATGAGTCTGAGGCAATTAAAGCCCAGTTAAGAGGGATGAAATCTGGTGGATGTGTTAACCAAGTAACCAGACCATGAAGTCTTAAAAGGCAACCACATAGTGTGTAAATCTAGATATTGAGGTCTGGTATCTAATACATGAAGTTAGGAATCTAGTTCTGACCTCCATCAAATTTGTCTTTTGAAGTTTTAGTGCCTGTAGTGAGACTGAAATGAATTAAGACCATTCCCAACTGGGCTGATGTTTTTGAAAGATGTGTCATAATGTAGTCTGAGAGAAAAAAAGTATTCAAGCTTTAGTCTAAAATAAAAATCACATTTATTACCACAAGTTGCATAAAATCAGATAGATACAGCTTTTACAAAAATGTTTGATAGAAAAATATTTGTCTAAGTACAATGTGTGGTATTACAGGAATAACTCGCTATTGCTGTGCCTTTAGATAAAGCTTCAAAAGAAGTGAAAGTTCAACCAAAATACTGAGTTTATCTATTGCAAACACAGGTATCACCTCTGGAACAAACTACATCTACTCATTCGAGATCCATTACAAAAAATACCCCTTCCTATTACTGACTTCATAATATAAACAACTCTGCTGACGATGTGTTTGGGACTAATAACTCAATACCATTCCTAAGAACATCACTGGTTCCACAGTGCCATTTGCTTACTTGTGCTGGGAAAGCCAATTCCTGGTAATGAAAACTGCAAGGAACATTTGCCAGATGCAAGTAGTCAGAACCTGGCTGGTGTGTGTCCCAAAGGTCACTTAGTTTAGCATGTAGAAATACAAACAAAATACTTTAATTTGGTATATGGGATCTGTAGTAGCACATCCTGCCCTAAGCACCACAGGTTAAACCATTTTCCTCTTGACAGTAGTAGATATTTCAGGTACCAAAGACATTGCAGTGTTAGAACTGAAGCAGCAATACAGCCTTTCACTGTTGGTATACGCAAGTAAAGTGAAATGCTGGTACTTTGATACAGCTCAGTGGCAGCAGCATTTTTCTAATAACTTTTCTTTCCCTCCCCTCAACAGAGTCTATGACTATTCAGAAGGTCAAAGGACTGCTCTATCGACTATTTAAAATTCCTGGTTCGGAACTGAAACTGTCCTACGAAAGTTCTAAAGTGAGTTAAAAATGGGTATTCAACAACAAAATATTTCATGCTGCTAAAGGTCCATAGCATCTTTCTAAAATACTGTCTAAAGAAATTAATTTCGCTTGAGGAAGGCTGTAATTTAGGACCTAATTTTATTCCTGTAAAATGACAGATTCTCTCTGACTGCAACTGTCTGCTATTTGGTTTACATGAAGGGATTTCACTTTAAGTCTGATTAGGTTTTTTTTTTGCTTTCTTATTCTAGTTGGAAGGAAAAGAAGTTGAACTAGACAATGACTTAAAGCCTTTGCAGTTTTACTCAATAGAAAGTGGAGACTGTGTGTTAGTACGGTGGTAAGAAGGGACTCTCTTGCTGGACTAAAGGAAAAGCTGACACAGAACTGCAAAAGAGAGACAGAGACACGGACAGCCCGTGCCTGAACAGACATACAGGTGAATATGAGTTTCACATGTGGCACCAGAGGACTGTGCAATTGTACTTTCAGCTCCTCAACTTGATCGTCAGCCTTCATGAAAACATCTGCTCATTTGTCCTACTGGAGAGATACCAAATAGTGCTTAAATGCTTTAATTAAATAAAACTCAAAGTCACCCTTTTGCCACAATTTTATACTGCCTTCCCTCAGCAGTGGTGAGAATTTGTTTTACTGAACCAAATAAATACAGGGTTTACTTGTGATATCTTTGCTGACAAGACTAGATTAGTGCTGCACTAGAGAGGCCACCTGCTCTTTGCCTTCACCTACGTCCAATGACCTTAAAGTGAATGAAACCCAGTAGTAATTTTAGAAGTATCTGCCTTAGATGATTTGGGTCAAAATCTGCCAGACCTTTCTTCTACCCTACAGTATTAACATACCACATTATAAAGAAGTTCTCAGCATACTGCAAGGCATTGCTATTTATTTTATAATCTTATGCATGCTGTTCTTTGATCTTACTTAACTTTCACTTGTGTAACCTCAGATTCCAATCTAGTAACACAGTGAGCTCTCAGAAATCCCTCCTAAATCACGCCAACTTTGCAGTACTTGAAGATTCGGTATAAGCAAACCTTGATTTTATTTCTTTCTAAATGACAGTGGTATAAACAAACTGATCACAAATCCTGGCCCCCATTGCTGTCCCCATCCCTGCACAGATGAGGGCAACTCCTCAGACAGCACAGAATCTGCTGCAGCAAGACTTACCAGCTGCCCTGGTGCTGAGCACAACTCTCCACGGGATCCTGGAACAGCCCTATACTCAGTCAAATCAGTAGTGCTTTAATTTACAAAAGACAGGCTGGTTGGCATTCTTATGTGCATTTATTAATTACAAGTAGGTCTTTGACTTTTTATAAAAAGGATTTTTTTTTTTTTTTAATATTGAACATTTTGGTTTTTGTCTGATCAACATCTATACTATAGAAAACAAATAGTATCAGTCCACTCGTGATTATCAAAAGGGATGTGCAAATATTGTTATACTTTAGTTGAAACCCAACATTAAAAGTTACCTTAATATTTCTTATTCCATGAATGAATCCAAATGTACACTTTTCCATTATCATTATACACTACTCTGTTTTCCAAGGCAAGTCCATCATCTTTCCTCACATCTACATGGATCTCCACACAGTTCCTTTAATCTCCAGAGCTCTCCCAGTTCCTGGGGAGAGTACTGGGGGGAAGACAGCATGCCACTCTCACATGTCTTCTCACACAACCAGAGACCATCCTGTTAAGAGAGAGAACCATTTCAACAGGTTTTCTTAGAAAGTATGTACTCTCCAACAATCTTCACTTCCAAGAATCAGGTGTTTATTGTTTCTAGTAACAAACATTGCACACAATGGTCCCAGACTGATCTGCTAGACCTGTTCAGAGAACTTGGGGGTAGGGATGGAGTCTGCAGGTGCTTTGTGGCAGTTTTGTGGTTTTTCTTTTAAACACATTTTAAAAGATTTTTTTTCTTCTGGATTTTTAATTCAATGGTTATTTAAATTCCTTTTAAAGAAAAAGCATTTATCCTGTTTTATGCTACTTGGGACAGCAGGCATGTCCTCTTTCTGTAAGGTCAGACAATTCCTTCAGACTTACTTGATATCGCTTGGGTCCTACAGCTGCCATCCAGATGCCCATGCTCACATCTTCACCCTGAGATGACACATCAGAACAAAACATACAGATATGAGCACTAACAAAGCACAAAGCATGACTGTGACCTGGAATAAGTTGCATCATCTACCAGCAGTAAAGAATGGTTACTAAAAACCTACACCAGACTACTGCAGAGGTGTTAAAATAATCCTCCCACCTTCCCCATGATAATACACTGTTCTTACAAAAACAGAGTATAAAAAACAAGATTACAGCTTCAGAGGTTCTCAGTCCAAAACATCTGTGCTTTGACCTAGAATAGACACTAAGCATAGCAACCAGAACTACGGCAAAAGCCCACGTTAGCCAGGAGAGCCCAACACTAACACTTGAGCAATGTTCTTTCTGACTCACCCAGTACATGCTGTTCCCCAGACCACTTTAACACAGAAAAACTGAACCAGTCTTTATTACCTGGTACGTTTTTAATCTTTCAGAGTTGCTTGCCAGCCACTGCACAATGTCTTTGGAGATGACATAGCCAGACCCACAAGCAAAGGCTGGGTATGCAGGACTTGGATACTCCAGTTCTTGCCATTTCCCAGTTCGATCAACTGCCCAATTTAGTCTGAAACTGAAGACCACGTTAGACGTGAGATGTTTATAGAGAGCTCTCTGTGGAACCTATGAACATTGATAACAACTGAAATAATACTGATAACAAATGACTGAGAGGAAGAAGTAGGTGATCCTAATTATAGTTCCTAGTCTTATTTCTCTAAGGCATAAAGCTAAAATTGCAACTGTTGTTTGGTCTCAATCTTGGATAATAAGAGAAAGTTTTCAAAACAGAAACAAAAGCAACATTGACAGTCAGGTCTGCAGCGTCTGCACCTTGCTGTTGGGTTTTGAACTAGCCTTACCTATTTTCTAACAGGGGCATCTGTGTCTTGCTAATTAATCCCTGCGGTTAATCAACATGACACAAAGGCAGTGCCTCCAGCAGGGATGCAGATAGCGATGTTATGCAACCCATTTTCCTGTTTAAACTAGTGGCTGCTTAAAAATCAGGAAGCAGTACCTTCTCTAAGCTGTTTTCCAAATGAAGCTCAACAAAGGAGATGTTCAAAGGCTGCCATCACTGAATTACAAAAAAAACTCTTCCTGGCGGTGGTGTTCTCTAAGGAAGGCTTTATGCACTCCTCGAGGCCTGCAGGAAGCAGTCTCTGTCAGCATCATCTCCCCACACGCTCCCAGCGTGGCAGAGCTCGCACTGTGCAGTGCTATGGACCCTGTCAAATGCTGAGTGAGGCACTGAGAAACATCCTGCTTTTCCTGTTTGGGAGCAAGCTGCTGTTGCACTCCTCTGGCCTCACAAATACCTCATGCACTCACAGCTAAGAGACATAACTGTGTCAATGCAGCAGGGTCTCCTCGCTCCTGTTTTACAAAGAGGTTCAGCACTGATGATTTCCAGTCATGAGCACAAGCAGCTGAAAGCTTGAGTGAGCTACCAAGAACTGTCACCTCAGACAACAGCCCCGAAAAGGAGGAATTAATTACAGCCAAGTGGCAGATGTTATCAGATTCTGCCCATTCTCAACTGAAGCTGACATCTTAAAGCACAAAGTAAATAAAAGTCTCAGCTGATACCTGAATTCACTTTAGACCCAGTATCTTCCACTGTGGAATCGCAGCACAAAGGGTTTAACCCCCTCCAGGCTGAGAAACATCTGCTTTGATAATAATTTTACACTTTCCTGGTTATTTCTGTGCTGTTCCCTACACATCACTTGCCAGACCTGAAGACTGTGACTATTAAAGAATTTACACTCAAAGATGTCACTGATACAGATCTTTGAGATAATCACAAGATAACCAACTGTTTCACACACTTGACCACACACCTTATTCAATCACTTTATGAGTAAGCAACAGGCAGGACTAGGTTTGTGAAACAAAGCAGCAAAGGCCTGCTATTCTTCAGTGAGCAGAGGGCAACATGAAGACACACTGTACCATTATGCTATACTGAATGCTATATTAGCATAGAGAGTTTCTGCTATACTGGATGTCACACCAGAGCTGCAATGCATTCCATGGATGTGGAAGGGAAGATATGGGCTATTTGGATCATTGTAGTTATTCACAATTGTAATACAGGCTGGGGAAGTTCACTCAATTTATTATTCAGATCTGCTATTTTGAACAGCAGAAATGGGTAGCAATGCCTGAAATTCACAGACGTTACAATAAAGTGTAAACCATAACCAAAATTTTGTTTCTTCTTTTTATCCCACTTCCTCAAGCCCACCAGAAAAATCACATCACAAAAAGTAGTATTTGTAGTTCTGTAGGATGTACTTTCCTTTTAACTTCACTGTAATTGCTGGAAAATTCTTAATTACTCAAGTACCACAACAAAGATGTCTATAATACAACACATTTTAAACCCAGGTAAGATATTCAGCAAGTTTAAATTAATTTAAAGGCATACTCTGGAAAGTTCTTGTAAAGGACTGATTTCTGATTCTGACATTCAAAGTTCTAACATACAGAAGTCCTGCTTTTTACAATTAGCTTCCTTAGGCAGAGGAGGGGAACCCACATGGAAGCACACCTAAATCACTGAACCATTCTCTAAAGAAATGGTATCTATCTCTTAAAGATAATTTTAAAAAACAACTTACTTTCCCCACCAAATATTTGGCCTGTCCAATTTTTTCTGCATTATCCTGTTAAAAACAGCTTCCAAATCAATGTAACAGTCATCATCCGTCTTCAGCAACAAGTCAAAACTTGTTGATTCAACTGTCCTGTAGCCAAAAAGAAAAGTGATGAGATGCTGAGCTGCACACCACAAACTACAGACAGTATGCTCTGCAAGGGTTTTTTGGGATGCAGGGGGGAAGCAAAAAGGGAAGGAATGTCTTCTAAATGTTTTCTCTATCAACCAAGGTTGATTGCTTGTCCTTCAGTGGAGATGGAGCTGTACCCTATGATGATTTTACAACATGGACTTTTGTATAAGCAGAAGAAAACAAATTTGAAGTTTTGTTCTCTAGGACAGATAGTGGATTTACTAATGAAACCATCTTAAGCAGTATTGACCTCAGAAGGATATGAATCCCTGATGCAGGGACGGCATCACAGCTGTTAAAAGCCACTGGCTACACGTCAGTAGCCTACTTTCAGGACAAGACAGTCAGTTCAAGGGCAATGAGAAAGTTGTAGGTGGTAAAAAACATCTGTGGAAACAACTCTGTACTTACTCTTTCTCTGTAAATGCACCCTTCAAATACGAAAAATGTTATTTTTAACTGTCTGAAATGGCTGAATGTGACATGCATAAATTTACCAAAAAAGCTTAAGATTCTAGGGATCATAGCTGAGTTGGTTAGAAATGTTTGTAAGGGTAACTCCTTACAACAAGAAAGGTATATTTAAAAGCCTTTTATTACTAAATCTTGAAAAACTGCTAATCTGTAAGAAATTATCACAAAGATCTAAATCTTGTCATGCAAACCTGCTTTTAGAACTGAAAGCATCGTTCAGTTTTTCAGTTACATTCATAGCTATGGAGTTTGTGAAGTAAGTGCATAATCTTGCAAGCAATTAAACTGAATTTTGGCTAAATTACAACTGTCAACTGTATTTCTTACTCCACAGCAGCATCAATTAACTGAAACAGTTGTCTCAGAGTAACAGAAATCACTGCAAATTAGAGATAGAAACTTACTACCATTCAGATTCACCACACACAATGCATTACACTATGAAAATTCTTCCTATCAGCCTTCTGTCCTCCCTGTACAGAAGCTTCCAACCCTTCCCCTCCACTCAGCACTGGTGTGGCCACATCTGGACGACAGATGTGCAGTCTCAGACTACTCAGTACAAGAGGGATACAGCCATACTGGGTGGAGAATGCAGCAAAGGCCCATCAAGATGATTATGGGACTGGAGCAATGGCCACAAACCAAAACACTGAGTATGTACACTAACTGGCCAAAAGGCATCCTTTCAAATACTAAAACTGCTAGCTTTCAGTTAGATACAAATGAAAAGAAATGACATGGAGAAATGCAATTTTTTACACCTGGACTCTTAGAGCAGAAGCCTGTCTTGCCAGCTTGTGCTGATTTGGGGCACCAAAGGTCAGCATTCAAAAAAACTACAGGCACTGCCACTTTACTCACTACATGCACCCAAAATTGTGAGAGAGAAACGCAACTTAATGAAGTAAATCACATAAGGCTATAAAAAAACATAATCTGCTGAATCATCCTGCCCTACAAACAGCACCATTCCTAAGAGGAAATAAGGAAATACTTTCTTTACAACTTACCATCGGTAGAAGTTCAGCAATTTGGAGGGAACGTTTCTATAAGTGTCGATCACATCCACAAAAACAATGTCATCATAGGTACTGCTTTCTTCCTTCAATAAAGCATCTTCTTTCTCAAGGTTTTTAATGTGACTTGTAAACCTTTCTGGGCGAGTATGGAGGCTTTTTAAAAGAGCATCACCTTCTGAAAGAAACAGCACCCATTATTAAACAAAGATGCATATCTACATATTATTTCACATTTCTCCTGGATCATACAGGGCACACATTGACAAAATTAATCTGAAGAAGCATTCAAATTAATGGGGTTATGAAAATCCTGTACTTAATTTTACAATTTCTACGAAATGGTAAACGTTGCAGAACTACAAAGAAATATATTTTTGTGTAAGGTCTGACACTGAAAGTTTAAAGTAAAAAAGTATTCTCTTCCTTTTCAGTAATAAAATAATTAAACTCTTTAAGGTTCCTTAATATAAGGAACAGTCTGGGACTTCTCTATTACTCTCACCTGTAGAGTAAAAAGGCCACTGTCAATTACTCCTAAGTATATGTAGCTAGCATAAAAAAATAAACACAGGAACAAACAAACAATGCTGAATAATCAAATAGGCATTGCTTTGATGTAGCACAGACAGCCCCTGCTGAACCACCTCACATAACTGTAGGTAAAAGCTAAAAATATATTGCAGATAAGGTGGTAGTTTGTGGTTTGATAAAGAAGATGGAAGGGCTTTAGCACACACCTCAATTCAGGCTCTGCCCAATTATATCTGCCAGGCCTAGCTACAAAAACACAGCCAGAACACTCTCAAAACCATTGCTTATATTGGCTTTAATGGACCAAAAAGAACACATTGACTCCAGCAATGTCTAGACAAAATCTTAGAAATTAGAAATGGCTCCTATAAAATCTCAGAACATTCTGCTGAAAAAGGTGCAAAAAAGCAACAACTGGGAAGGAAACTGCTTGTCCATATTAAACATTGTGTACAGTACCTCTAACTGCAGCAGAACTAGAAAGAAGTGTCAAAAATATCAGGGAACGATTTCATTGCATGACATTTTTTAACTTGATTTTGGATAACAAAAAACCAAGAAGAGAGTCTGGATAAAAAGACAAAGGGATGCAAGGGAGTGGCTGACAAAAGGAAAGCAAAGCAAAGCAACCACATCAGGACATTGACTTTAAGCATAAAAGAGCCAGAAAGAAAATGTTTCTACTAAAAGAAAACCTGGGGTGACTAAGTTCATGGAGACAGCACAAATTATACTCAGAAGTGTAATTGAAATTACCTGCTTTACCATAACATCAAGTGTCATGCTACGTTTTGTGGACTTACCTTGAATAGTGTAGATAAAACCACCTGCTATTCCCTCCACACCTTCTGTGAGTTCATGTGGCAGTGACCCTTCCCCTGCCTGTTAGGAACAGATTAATGGAAATGGATAGATTAAATCATCTGTCCTTATTGATGTGTTTACCCTCTGATTTTAAGGTGTGAACTTTCCTGGCAACTAATAATGAAATTAATTTAAAGCTCTGCTGGTTTAGGCACCTGCATAATCCCAGAATCAGAACATCCCGAGTTGGAAGGGACCCACAACAATTACTGATGTCCAGCTCCTGGTCCTGCACAGGACCACCCCAAGAGTCACACAATGCGCCATGAAAGACTTAGACTAAGATTTTTAACTGAAGTTTTGTGGCATTTTTTTAAAAGTTTCACCCAAAACTAGCAGTAGCACTGAAACTTTCAGAAAACTAGTTTCAAAGTTGACAGTAAAATGCAAAATTATTCTGGCTAAATGATGATAACGCAGGATGTTTAGGCAAGCAATTTGACACAAAAAGAGACACACTGCCAAAAAGCAAATAACCAGACTTTCTCCCATAAGATGGGATTTTAGCACAGGATTTTTGACCCACATTTTGCCATCTCTGATATACTGATACTGCTTCACATCTGACAATCAGAGCTTTATTCTCCTCAAAATAAAATGCCACTTGCAAGCATATTTTTTTTGCAAGAAGGCAAAGCAAAACTTCTCTTTTGAGACAAAAGGATAAAGCCAACTGAATTAAGGATTTACACAGAGAAACACAGGAAAGTAAAATGCTAAATTCTCAACACTTATAGGAAAAATAGAAACATGGTGGAAAGGAAGATGAAGGGACTCGACTCACTGTAATGACTCTGAAAACACCTCCTCCATCATTCACCATCACTCTATGAAGATTTCTTGAAACCAAGCCCTGAAGATCCTGGCTCTCCCATACAATTGTACCTTCAAAACTCTGGTAAGAGAGCAAAACACTGTTATGGTATACAAAGGTATACAAAGACTTAAAAAATGGAAGTCAAACAGTTTGGGCTCTTTAAAATTATTTTAAAGGAGTCAACTTCACACAAGATTTAGCTTGGGTGCACAACATAAATTTTTTACTTATACATCAATAAAAATAAGTTATGCATAAATGAAACATGTCCATGAAACTCAGTAACACATAATCATTCTTTTAAGACTAATCATGAATCTCTATATTAAACTTTTAACAGAAGCCTAGTGTAAAAGACTTCGGCTTTCTAAAATCATCAAAATAGCATTTAAAGGTGACCTGAAGTGAATTTTCAAAAATCAAATATAAAATCCTACATTACAAAGGGAATACATTAAAAGAGATTTGGAAACAAGTTCAGCTTTTATCATTATCTGCCAAACAGAGATCAGAGACTCGATCCTGACACCAGCAAAACTCAAAGAAAAATATGGCCACCTTTACCTCAGTAGAATTGCCACAAGCTACTGCAGGAGTGACAGAATTCTTACCTCACATCTTAGTTGATAAGGAATAAAAAGACAAGTGAATAATTTCAAAATTTTCTGGTTTTAACTGTCAAATTAGGTTATACCACTCCATGTTTTACATATATATGTGTGTGTGTGTGTGTAAATTCTTTTGAATTTCAAAGGACTTAATCTCAACTTTAAACTGAAGACCCCTGAGAACATACAAAGGAACAGGTGGCAAGTTGTACAAGAGTATTGGTAGAATTTTATTTTTTAAAATTTTTAAGGCAATCTATCCTTTATGAAAAGGTAGGGTTGTTATACTCCTGACTCCTAGATGAGCATATTCCATTTTGTCTCTCCCAGTTTCATAGGAAACACACTGGTTGTTAGTGTGGAACAGAAAAACAACGTGTTTGTAGATGCATCTCTGCTGCTGTAGGAAGTCTATTTACTTATAACAACCTCTCATCTCGTCCCCACTTTAGCTTACTTGTACACTAGAAACCTTCTCCAAAAATTCTCCAGTTACTGAAACACTTGTAAGTCTACATTAGAGTTCAGCTTACTTTTTTGCTTTCCTCAAGAAGCAGGTCTTAACATCTGCTGCAGTCTCAGTGTTTAATGACAGCTGTGTGTGTATTTCAGAAGTCTCTCATCTATTATTTAAAATGCCAGCTTTATAAGCTAATAATGAAGCTGGCCAGTGTTTATTCAAGCTCAATACCTTCCCCTTGTTTCACAGAATCACAGAATAAGCTGAATTGGAAGGGACCCATAAGGATCATCCTATCGAACTCCTGACCCTGCAGGACCATTCCCCAGTCACACCCTCTACCTTCAAACATTGGCCAAACTCTTCTTGAACCCTTGGCTTGGTGCTATGACCACTTTCCTGGGGATCCTGTTCCTGTGCCCAACCACCCTCTGAGCAAAGAACCTTTTTCTAATGTCCAACCAAAACCTCCCCTGACACAACTTCAGGCCGTTCCTTCAGGTCCTGTCACTGGTCACTACAGAGCAGAGATCAGTTCCTGCCCTTCCACTTCCCCTCAGGAGGAAGCTGTAACTGCACTGAGGTCTCCCCTTGGTCTCCTCCAGGCTGGACAGACCAAGCGACCTCAGCAGCTCCTCACATGGAGCTCCTCCTTCACCATCTTCATTGCCCTCCTTTGGACACTCTTGAACAGTTCAATGTCTTTCTTGTATTGTGGTACCCAAAACTGCCCCCAGCACTTGAGGTGAGGCTGCCCCGGCTCAGAGCAGAGCGGGACAATCCCTCCCTTGCCTGGCTGAGGATGCTGTGCCTGAATGCAGCACCAGGACATGGCTGGCCCTCCTGGCTGCCAGGGCACTGCTGACTCACATTCAGCTCTCTGTTGTTTGTTTAATTATTTCTCAGTTATCAAAATAAATGGACCAATATTAAGACTTCTTCTACTGGCTCAATTTTTCTTTTTGCAATGACTGTCATCTCCCATTACGATGTTTTTTACTGTAGTGATGGGGCTCTAATCACACTTCAGTGTCCTGTTCATGGACACAACCTTTGGAAAGTTGTTTAGTGAACAGGAGAGTCCTTTAGGAACAAGGGAGTCCTTTCATGCCTCTGCAAGCAGAAACATTACAAATCTCACCACTGACTATTACTGATACTGACTTCAAATGTACCAGGGGTCTTGTAAACCTCAGTGTAAGGCATCCTAAGGCTGCAAATGATCATTATTTTCCAGGTTGAGAGACTTGTAAGCAAATTTTCTAATGACTTTAGCCTTCAGCTATTCTTACTGTAAGCCACTTAATGAAAGCTGAGGCCTGAAAATGCTTAAAGCAAAAACATTAGTGGCACACCTGAGACTACATCATCTGTTTTTTTCCCATTTAAATTCCAGCCTTGTTGCTGCCAGAGCGCAGTGGCATTTACAGTGAATACCGAACAGGTGAACTGACATAATGCAGCCCTGCCAAACTCCTTTCCTAATGCTGAACACTGCTGTGCTTTTTGTTCCTCCAACTATTCCCCATTAGTAACACAGGATACGTGCAGTACAGAGCCCCATCTTCATGCAAGTGGCCCACAGCTTTTTGACAAAATAAGCGCATTGCTGAGACTTGTCTGTAAGAGCCCTGTGTGTTTTAGTTATCTGCTGGCGCTTCTGCTGCTCTGCGCTTTCAGTCGTTCCAAAGCTGAATGATCGATCCTGTCTCTCACAATCTGGCCTGCCAGATGCTAATTCTAATACTGCATTTCCTTTCCTTTCCCCAAGATGAGCAGGAAGAGCAGCACTTCAGCTGGAAGATGAATGAAGCTCTTCAGCAGTCTGTACAATCCATTACTTCTTCAAGGTGGAAAGACAGAGAATAGACGCTGTCTCAGACACCATCCTGTAACAATTAAACAGTTCACTAAATTTAGTGCTCTTAAACAAGCAGACAGGAACACGTGGGCACTGCCACCTCCTCTGAATCATCGTGTACGCTTCAGCATCCTGAGCATCACAGGAGACTGCATGCTGTGCATAAGCCCTATTCATCTACGTTAGAAACATCGTGTTACCCTGTAAGCATTCAGCGCATGACACACATCAGACTAAGGAAGCCCACACAAAGAAATATATGAATACTAATATTCTCTCTCTCAAGGAAATACTTCCCATCTGCCTCTCAGGAAAATTGCAACCTTTTATAGCAAAATTACAACTGCCTGGAACTTTAGCATCTCAAAACAAAGTCTTACAGGGAAAAGGCTCACATGATAGACTACCAAATTACTGGGTAACCAATATTCTTTTTAAAAACGTAAAATAAACCCTTAATCATTTTAGTATGAAATTAGATTGCCAAAACATAGGCACAAAATACTGCAAGTTGTCTGATAACCTGAAAGGTCTCCTGCCAACACTACAACTTACACAGCATTCAGTAAACACAGTCTAAGATGATAAACCAATCGGCCAGCTGCAGATTCCCCTTGAAATTAACAGATTTCCAAATGCATTCATTAGTATAGAGCCAGGGGAATAAATCAGGGAATAAACTGGCCCAAATTGTCCTCTCTTCCCTCTTCAATCTTCATTTGCTTCATTTTTTTGAAACACAATTTGTTTAATAATAAAACATCCCAGACTAAAGACAACATACAGAAATAGTAGCAAGAGTCCAGGAAAATATTTAAATTAAAGAAAACTGTCTAAAATGGTAGCTGAGATATCTATCAAGAGATCACTGGTCCACTGAGAACAATTCCCTGTACCTGGGAGGGTCTGCTAACTAGGATTCTCCTTCTGAGCCAACATTTCTTCATTAAACCATTCATTAAACACCAGAGTATTTTCCTACAATATTCTGTTCCTTTTGTGTTCAGTCACCTTCCTTCCTATACAGCCACAAGTAGGTTCCATATCCTTATACCAAAAACAAATAACACTGTGCAAAGGTAACACACAATATCTTGATGTTATGTCCCAAGACATCAGATGCAGAAACCTCTTTTCCAGCTGCTCCCTAGAAATTTGTGCCATCCTCCCCTCCCTATCTTGTGTGCTAATGACTGACAAAGCAGAAGGGAGAAAGAGGCCTCACATTTTTTGGTAAACTCTCCCACAGAATCAAAGCAGGTACAGTTTTCAATCAGAAATAGGTTAAGTTTTCTGAAGTTGCTACTATTTGACAATGTAATTTTTTATCAATTTGTATTTTCCAGGCTTATGCTTTATAACTACTTGTGATAATAAGATTCTGTAAAACAAATATTATATATCCATATATCCAAATCTGGATTTCAGCATTTCCCTGCAACTACTCATCCATTCTGTGATTCTGTGAATTAACATTCTAGAAGTTTTCGCTTGCCCTTTTCTGCCTCAAGCAAAGGCCAGTTTTATCAGTCAGTTTGTCCAGATGACTTAAAAGAACTGCTGACAGTTCTGATGCTGCACATACCTCTGGCAAAATAAACTGCTCTACTGGCTTGTACCACAATCTGTTCACCTGCACTCCACAGCTTGGTGGACTAAAGCGAGCACTGAAGATCGCTTCCTGTAAACAAGAGGCGGAAAAAAGCTAAAATTAAAAACCCAAAACAAACATTAAAAGTGCTACTGTATTACACAGGCCATCAAATGGGTCTTAGATAATAACAAATTACATAAGGATGCTGCATTGCCAAATTCCAATCTTCAGAAAACAGTTTCCAAGCTCTCTTATGATACAAACTTTTCTCTTTCACTGGAAATAAAAAGCTAATGCAGATAAACTCATTAGACTTTGAACATTTAGAAAATCTACAATTTAGGAAACATGAACTTGATTACAGTATAAATTTATTTTTATTATGGCTGTTATAAACCAAACTCCTTGGAAGGTCATCATGGAAGTCATACTTACAATTCTTTCTACTGTTAGCATAAGCAGAAGTCTTGAAATTGGCCTATCAAGTTATTGGTTGAGATAAATGTAATATATCAAATGCAACAATCTTACTCAAAAAAAATTTTCCCTCCAAATCAAAAGCTAGTCTATCAAACCCATAATAGCTTTGGACTGGGGGAAATTATCAATGAAGTCCAATTATTACCAGTAAATAATACCAGTATCTAGAAATTTTAAAATGTCTTGCCAGAAGACTGACAAGAAATTATAGCTGTTCTGCATCTCTGCCTGAAGACACCAAATGTATATTTGAATATATTTAAAACACGTTTTAAATATATTCAATAGCTTATTTTTTATTCCTTAGTAACTATCAATATTTAGAACCTCAAATACAAACAAAAAATTGTGCGCTGGAATTAGATCTAAGTGCTCTTTCATAACAGCATCTGGATTAACTCCCAGCACTTTGTGAATTTCATCTTTTCCTCATACAGGATGTACCTCTGTATACGTACATGAGAATTTAAAATGCAGCAGAAGAAAAATATAATTCATACACTTGTCAGTTAAATACTTCTCTTCCAACTCACCAACACAAGCATGTCACCTTCTGTAAGAACTTAATCCACAAAAAAGAGACATCATCCTTTCAAAACATAACTACAATACTCTACCTCATGTTCTGCCTGGTACAGCTTTACAGTGATGTTCCTCTGGAATCCCACCCCATCAGCCTCATAAAATACCCCAAGGCTGGTAATGACAATGGGGTAAAGCACACGAAAGTTCACACTGACGATTCTGTCCTCAGACAGTACAGAAGGTATGTCCTCAGGGAGACTGAATGCTTCAATTTCCTGATTCAAAACTGTAGGGAAAGGAAAGGCCAGAGGTAAGGTGAGAAAAGCTCATGGTTCCTGGATACACACAAAGCATACAGCCTATGTGCAAAGCATTCTGGTAAATTAGCACGGCTCACAAGTGCACAAGGATAATCAAACACTGGAGTCGAAGAAAATACAATGGGCTGCAGACTGCAGCAAGAAAAATTTCAGTGATACAGCAATCTGCAGGCTAATAGCAGTTGCAACTCAGTGCCTACATATCCATAGGGAAAATATTAGAAACAGAATAAATCCACAGCAGGAAGACAAAAATGCTATTTGACTGCATGAATACCTGCAAATTAGCTTAATAAAATAATTATTCATGTATCAAAATGGCACACACCTCCACTCAATTCAGCTGCCTGCTTTTTGGCATTATTGCCTACCTAAGCCCTGAGGTACCATTTATACTTGGGAACAGTGGATGTTGTCATTCAAAAAAAGCAACAGAAGTTACATTTTGTGTTGAATCATGGCTCAGGTGCCTAGCAGCTCTTAGTTAACGTGTGTTAAAGAGCAAAAATGAAATAAAATCCAAAAGGTAATTTTAGTTAGGAATTTTTGTATGGCATTTAATTTTTTCCCCCATTTTACATTTCTTGATTATTTTCTCTCTAAAGCAGAATCTGAAAAACCCATCAGCCAGACTTGCTTCGAGGATTCACTTTGTCACCAGAGAAGTCCATCTGACACTCAAGACTGTCACCTTGCTATTTTCTTCACATTTGCACTATGCCACGTCATTTTTTCTCTCTCCAACTTCATTTAACACACAAATCAAGTAAAAATGTATGTTATATGGGAGAGACTGTCTGGTGACACAAGGGAAATGCAAACCCATTCAAAGTCAATGGCCTCCCCTTCACATGCCCAAATATCTCTCCCTTTCTGGCCTGCACAAGGTACTTACAGGAAGGCTATGCAACAAGTTCTAGGAGGTACTTGTTTTCAAGACTAGCTGTCTCAAACACCCAAAACTACTCTCAGAAAATATGATTAGCTCTAGCTCAGACCACAAGATTTTTAAAAGTTAACTTCCATACCTGGGTTACTGATGTTCAGAAGTTTGCAGGAGTAGGGGTCTTCTCTGTCCTTCACTGGCACAGCACAACCATGCGCACCTATTATAAACTTCACAAGGACACTAAAATAATTTGCTTTTATTAACACCAGTTCTCTTCCCTCCTCCCTCCATCTTCAATAAACTCAATTTTATCATGGCCTGTCTTTCACAGGGTTAAGATTTTGAACCTCTTAAAAATCAGCAGTGACAGTTGGTATGCAGAGCAACCACATGAATCCCCTTGTAGGAGCTCAATTCCAAATCCACATTAACATTTTACATTTTGAGATCACAAGAAGATTGGCAGCTAGAAATGAGATTAAAGACAGCCAGCACACTAAACTGAAAAAAAGACCTAAGGCAACACTGAAGGAACCCAGAGACCTGCCCCTCCTGGCCTGGGTTTGTTACTTAATTCAAGACTGTTTGAATACTAGGCATTCAAAAGTCAATGAAAAAAACAGTAAGAAAAAAGTCACATAACATCAAAGGAGGACCAAGGATTCTGGGCTATCTGGTCCAATGAAATATTTCAACTTTGGGTTGTAGCAAAACAAGAGGTTCCCCTCCAGCTCTAATCACAGTTATTTCATAGTAGGGAGGCACCAAGTAGTACAAAGAGCAAGGATGCACCTTAACCTATCTTTTCACCTAACAGCTGAACATCCTCCCAGAACTCCACATAAGTTATGAAAGGTCATAATTTAAGGTCATAATATAAAAGGTCATATGCTGCACTTCAGGCTGCATGTTGAGACCAAATATGGGAACAGCAAAATGCTTTCAATGCAAGGCAGGTACCAAGGTGTGAGGACTAGCAGCATTTCCAGGGATGAACTGCAGCAGAGCTTCCCAGCAAAATCAGACCTGTGTGTACATGACAGGTCTGTGCAAGCAATCAGGAAGGGCCACTCACACTGCAGCAGTATGGTGCACCTGGTTCAGCGAGAAATAAACCTGAACTTTAGAGGTGAGGCTGTTTGCAAGAGTTTTGGTGATTCTCTCACCACATGAGATCCTGCCTGCCTTCCAGAATCCTGAATTACCGAGGATTCCAGTTGCACACCATACATTGCAACACAGAAAAGAGGAAGGCTTATACATCACTAATGAACAGTGACAAGTAATTGCAAAAGCAAAGAGCAGTGTATAAAAAGTAGTTACAGCCCAAGGCAGTAAGTATTCTTATATACTATCAAGCAGACTTAAAAAAAAATCTATCAGAGTACAAGATGCTCAAAAACAAACAAACAAATAAACTAGGAAATACTTTAAAAGAAAAATTATTAAATCAAGATATTTCAGCCCTACTATATTGAGGTATTTCAACCCTGTCCCCCAGGCCCAAACTACAAAACAGTGGAGGTTACCGTTGGTTCAGGGCAGGATGTTGCTTCAGGTGCTTGACCCAAGTGTTCCTTATAACACTGCGTAGCTCATGATTGTGTCGAGCTGACAAAACACCTACAATAACATCATAATGATTCAGCTTCCACTGAGGAAAGAAGGACAGTGGACCTAGAAGTAGAAAGTGACAAATATTTACTTTATGCACATATTACCACAAGCCTGAGTTGCAAGCAATAATTAAAATTCCAGCCTTCCAGTACTTAGAAGTGGCTTACAAAAAGGAAGGGAAGCTATTTTTTGCAATGCAGATAGTGATGGGACAAGGGGAAAAGGTTTTAAATTAAAATAGGGGAGGACTGAGATTAGATATTGGGAAGAAATTCTTTACTCAGAGCATGGTAAAACACTGGCAAAGATCGCCCAAAGAAGTTGTGTCTGACTCATCCCAGGAAACACTCAAGGTTAGGTAGGATGGAGCTTTGAGCAACCTGGTCTGGTGGGAGTCATCCCTGCCCATGGCAGGGCAATTGAAATCAGATGATCTTTAAGGTCCCTTCAACCCAAACTATTCCAAAATTCTGTGATTAAAGGACCTCTAAAAGCAAGAAAACTGAAACACTAAAAACCAACAGCAGGATCACATTCTTGGTTCGGATTCAGAGAAACATTTTCAATACGCCAAAAACTTCACTAACATGCACATTTCCCCCCTTCTTTCTAAAGTTGCTGGCACTACTTTTCTGCCTCCCAATTTCAGTGTGGGATCTCAAGGCCTATTGTTTCTAACCCTTTGAAGTGGAACACCAGTCTGCCTTCACACAGGATGCTACATCCCTACACAGGGACTAAAGCTCTGGCTTTATTCAAAGCTGGATGCCACTGCCAATACTTGTAATCCAGGATTTAGCTTGTGCTGTTTTAATTTAGAGATCACAAAACCTGGACTTGATTTCCAGCAGGATTATGACCGGATAGAGACCTGAGAAGCTCTGATTTAGAGCCTGTAAACAGTCAGACAAGTAGCTAAAGTGAATTTGCTTAGTTTAATCTATCAGACATCCTAGAGTTAATACAGATTTACATTTAGTTTTAGCAAAGGATTGCTTCCCTCTCATCTGACTATGTTTTTCATTGGGCTGCAGATAAAGAAAAGAAATCTGAGTGCACTTTAAACTACTGCATATAGCATAGACAAGATTTTTTCGAATCTAATTAGGAGACTAAACATACTGCCAAGTCTGTATTGTGAACTCCCACTAGAAGGAGTTGAATTATTATCCAGACTCTACCTTCTGTACCAGCATCCCCTTTCTCCACTTTGAAGCTGAATAGATGGTTTATTTTACACTGCTCTCTAACCTAGGACCTCACAGCATCTGCCACAAAAACTGCTGTGCCAAATCCCACCAGACATCCATCTAGCCTTATATCCCACTGTCAGTTCAGCATGCAGTGGAGAGGCCTTGACCTTGCTCTGTTCCATGCTGAATCAACATCAAGATTTCAGAACTTTTGTTGTTGTTCTTTAGGGCTATTAAAAATAGCCCTGACTCCAAAAGCCAAATAAAACTGCTCTGGAATTGGTTTTCAGAAAAATGCAAAAGCAGGAAAACCAGAAAGTGGTGTTTCCACAGGTAAACCTTTCCCAGTCTATTTCCCACTTAATATTTTAGTTCTAAGTATGCAAACACTGATTTTTCTACAAGAAAGTGAAGTTCCACCACTACTTAAATGAATCTGTACTGAAAACAGCTACAAGAGTATCAATTACTTAAGCTGAACATTAACCTATTAAGAGAAGCTTTCATCAACTTAGGCTGAGAACAACTAAAAATTCCAAACAATGAGTCATTAGTTCCATTCTTCATTTTTTTCACTGAAGTCAACTGTTGGACCTCTTACAACAACCACGATTGAACTGGTGGTGAGAATTAGGAATATTATTTGTTTGCTACAGAACAGCAAACCTAGTGCCCTATGTAACATCTGAAGAAACTTGTAAGTCAAACACACTGTTCAGTCAAAATACCAAGTTTAGTTTTCCTTTATGCTAGTAAATATCATTTATCCAGAGGCTCTGTATGTCTTCACAGATTATTATATAGCCAAGAATCACCAGCTCTCCAAGACAGCAGAGATTCATGGGACAGACATATGTTTATAAAGTACAACACTATGGCAAATTCCTGTGTAGCTACATAATTCCTGCTTACACATCCCTTTTTTTCCCTTGTTCTTCATCCATCCTTTGATTATTCTTCAGCCCTAACTCCAAGCCTCAAGCCTTCCAGTATAAAGTTCATAGGTCTAATATGCTTGTAGACTGCAGATGAAGTACTGATTACACAGATTTCTTTTTTAAAAACATTACTTTTAACAAGAAGCAGAACTATTCCATTAAATCAAAATTAAAGAAAAATAAAACTGAGGGCACAAGTCTATGGGGTGACTTGGCTCAGAATAACGTAAGCTAGCTTGAATGAGCTTTAAAAAAAACAATTAAAAATAAGCTACTCAAATAAAATATACATACTTTTAATGAGATTGTTTTAAAATAAGCGAAGCTTTTCCTTATGAACCATCCACATGGGAACAATGTTAATGTAACAGATGCTTTAGAATTAATATCCAATTGCTTTTAGAACAGCATTGCAGTGGTCTATATTCAGAAGATCTTCTCTGTCCCAAGAGTTATATCATTTTACTTTTAAAACCACTAAAAACTAAAAAAAAAACAAAACAAAAAAGAAAGCTTACTTTGACAAAAATTTTTTTGCTTGTTAGTAAAGATTTCTACTTCCTATGGAAAAGTAGGAATAATGCTATAATTTCAGGAAAATAGATTCGTACGTGTTTCTCTGAACTCGCACTATTTTAAAAAAGGGAGCTAAAGTGAGAAGTACAGGGAAAAAATACTAAGGCTATTATTAATTTATAAGGATAATTCCAATATGTGCATAAATATTCTCTGATGCAGCATAATTTGAGAGAAAACATTGCTGACCTCAAAGTCAATAGTGACAATTTAGACAAGCAATCAATGCTTGCCACTGAGGACCAAAGCTATTTATCTTATATTCTATTTTTGTACACTTTCAGGCCAAAACTTTAAGTGTCAGATTGTATCACATCATACACATCACTCTTACCTGCAACTGCCTGTGCAAGATAATTACGTTTTTACATTTTCTGATTTCAAAGACAAGGAAAAAACTAAATTTTGTGATTTGGGAAGGGGGTAAAAAAAAGGAAAAAGCTACATATCACATTCTACTATAAACCCTAGAAGTGTTGCAGACCAAAGGTATGGAGAAGGAGAGGAAGCCTTCCAATCCAAAGCTCACACTACCACTGTCCACCTTGCTTTAGAATTCTTACTTAGTCAAAGCTGCACCTCGGTTGCATTACTTAGCCCAAGACTTCTCAGCAGAACCTGAGAAAAATACACAAAGCCTACCTGTTAATCCACAGCAAAACCTACAAAAACATGAAAGCGAGCATCCCTCCCTCAGCTGCTGAGGTTCATTTAATTCTCTGCAGCAGCTGTCAGCAGTAGTTCTGTCAGCTCTAAGTCTACCAAGTCCAGTCTGCCAGAACCTTGTGTCACATTGTTTATGGTAAGCTCCTAATGAAGCTTTCTCGGGCTCTGATATTTGTGAGGACTGTCTTTCACACAATTCTCTGATATCTGACCATACAGATTTTCACCTCAACATCAGCTTCAGGAAGGTTTCACAGGATTCTCAGTCAACAGTTTTCATGAAATGGGTGAAAATGCTGGACAACCTCCACCTGTCTGTCAAGCTTGACTGAGAGCTAGCAACAGATAAAAGTTTAGGAGAGATACAGGAAAAAGTAAACAAGTGTTTACATAGAGTACAAAGCTGTGGCTTTAGAAGACACAGCTGAAGATGCAGAGGTGGGTGTCCTGCTGAGCTGGACATGGAAGGAGATCACCACTGACAGGCAGTCTCCTGACCCTACTCGGATTTTAACCACCTCAGCAGCAGTCAACAGCTCTTGAAGTTTTTCAGAATTCCAGACTACAAAGATGAACATGCATCTCTTCTTCCCATGAGACAGATTCTCAATAAAATGTCAAATTAGGCTGTTAATTATATTTGCTTCATTATAAGGAGATTAAAAGAGCGAGAGATCATTTAGCTTGATTTTGTCAACAAACACAGTCTTGCTAAACATATCTCTATTGATGAGTCTCCAATCAACTACAAAATTTGCCTGTCATTTTCAGTGAAATTTGACATAGTATGCAGTCCACAAAGTGATTAGGTCTCCACATTTCATGCAAGTGGAGTGGACAAAGGAAAGACTCATCATTAGTGCCTGCACTGAGAAACACAGCAGTGTAGGCTTACTTGCAGTATCAGGCACCAGAGCACCTCCACTGGACGCTGCTAAAATAAGTGAGCTCCACAGAAGGCTGGGCTTTGTATCTTCTGCTACCAATGCAGCTTTTTTACTTTTTTTTTCCCTCTGAATAAATCAATGAATGGATTTAAGTAGGTCAAGCAGAACTTATTTGGAATATTTTCAACTAATCCACTTTGTAAGATAAGACTAAAAAGGAACAACACTCCTCCAAAATAAAAAGCCCCACACATTTTTATCTCTGCCTATTCCTGTGATTTTACAACCATACTCCTGAGGTTTAATACTTTTTCTTCTCTGCCGCTTCACAAAAGATCCAAACAAACACGAAGGAAGGAATTAACTCAATATAAAGATTTGTATTCACAGAATGCTGACACGCACAGAAAAAGAACAAACCAAAGAGCAAAAGCAGCTCTTTCCCCTTTTTAATCTACTTCACTTAAAGTAATCTGCTACAGCTCATCTGCATTACATGTTCTGGTGCAAGCAGAGCTACCTGACCTTCCTGCAGTACCCACTTCACCCTAGAGCTAGAAAGCACCAAGATGTTCACCCCTGGTTTCTGCAGTACACCATGAGGCAGACAGGCTTTTATACAAGAGTCACAGATTCAAAGAACAAAACTGCTGCAGGCAGAGGTTTCTGTTTGTTTTACATCAACAGCATTTCTTAAAAGAAATAGGACAACAGGGTCCTTCTGAATTGCCAAGTGGCAGTAGTAACAGTGGTGGAATGATGATACCCTAAACACCTTAATTATATAATATTTGAACATTTCTAGACAAAACTAGGAAAAAGTGGCCAAAGCATTAGAAG